TCCTCTTTGACAAATACACATGGATCAGCTTTCCCTTGCTGAAAATCTAGAGAAAACAATACTTCAGTGAGTTTTGTGTGCCAACACCGTGCACTTTGTTTGAGACCATAAAGGGATTTCTTCAGAGCACAAACAAATCCCTGTTTTACCTGTACGCCATCAGGTGGAAGCATATAAAGTGATTCATCTAGAGATCCGTACAGAAAAGCTGTATTAATATCATGGTGACTAATGTGTAGATTTTCCTCTGCAGCTAGCTTAAGCATAAGCCTAATGCTTTCATATCTCACTGTGGGTGAATAGGTCTCGTGATAGTCTTCACCTGGTACCTGTGCAAAACCTCTGGCTACCAATCTGGCTTTGTGTCTGACTATCTTGCCATTTTGATCTGTCTTCGCTTTGAAGACCCATTTGCTTCCAAGCAGTTTCATTCCTGGAACTACTGGAACTAGTTCCCATGTTTTGTTCCTTTCTAAGGAATCAAGCTCAGCCTTCATGGCATTTAACCATGGCTCAGCTTCCTTTGAATCCAAACCCTGGATTTCTTGGAAACTTGAAGGTTCAAATACCTTCTTGGAGCTTTTAACAGCTGTTACTGCTATCTTAGCAAACTCATCAGCAAATCTCTTTGGAGGTTTGCCTTTGTGGCTCTCTGTGACCTACGAATTAGCCTTAAGTCTTCAACACTCTCCTCTTCCTTCTTAGGAGAAAAACGACCTATTGTGAACAATGGTTCCTCCAATTCTTGATCAGAGCTTTCAGAGGGTCGCATAGAGGCTTTCGCACTCTCGAAATCCTCTGAATCACCCGATTCAGTTTCAGATTCAGACTCAGAACCTTCATCAGTGGGTGTGGGCTGTTGTGGTTGCTTTTGACTATCCTCAGTCTCATCACCGTCATCAGGATAACATTGGAAAATTCCCACATTCTCCCCCACTTTGCATTGTACTCAACACTTCTCGTGAGCTTAATTGTCTTAGAGTCAGTCATCATTATTCTGTAAGACCCTTTCTGATAACCTAGAAAGATACCATGCAATCCACGCTTGTCTAACTTGGAGTTTTGTGGTGAGTGAACCCACATGTCAGAACCAAAAATCTTCATGTGTTTGATGTATGGCTTCTTGCCAAACATCTTCTCATAGAGGTACATCCAATCGCTGAAGATAACCTGCGATTGTAACTGTAAACAAAACACGAGAGAGATTCGGCCCAATAACTCTCTGGAAGATTGGCATCATGCAGCAAGGTTTTTAACCCTTGAAGCAAAGTCTGATTTGCCCGTTCCGCAAGTCCATTCTGCCATGGCGAGCGAGGACTAGACAAATCGTGTTGAATTCCTTTCTCAGTCAGAAAAGCTTCAAACTGCTGAGAAGTGAATTCCCCCCCGCGATCACTGAAAAGAGTCTTTATCTTCTTACCATGCACATTTTCCAACCAAGCACAGAATTCCTTGAACCTAGGAAAAGCCTCCGATTTCTGCTTGAGATTGTACACAAAAATATATCTAGAAAATGCATCAATGAGAACCATGAAGTATCTATTTCCACCCAAAGAGGGCGCTAATGGTCCAACCAAATCAGCATGAACAACCTGGTATGGTTCTGTAGCTTTCCTACTAGACACCTTACCTTTCGCAGCCATTTTCACCTTGTTTGCTGCGCATGCTTTGCACTTCATGTGGTACCTGCAGGGTTTAATAGTCATACCTTCAACCAAGGCAGGCATTTTAGATACTGCCTCAAAATGCAAATGACCAAATTTGCGATGAAAATCGTGAATACATTCTGCATGCAAACTTTTGTTAGAACCTGCAATGCAACAAGTGTCATCCTGCACCACATCATCATAATACAAAACAAACAAACGATCAACATATTCTGCATGCAATACATAATCATTTTTCTTTGTGATGATGCACTTCTTGTTCTTGAAGGAAACGTCAATGTTCCGCTCATTCAGCTGTCCAACGCTGAGCAGATTATGTTTGGCGTCTGGCACGTAAAGCACATTCTGTATCGATAAGTCCAAACTGTGAAGAACAACAGTTCCGTAGCCTTTACTGGGAATAGTGTGGTCATCCGCCTGGTGAATCGCACCTTCCTGCGGTGTAAAAGACACAAACAGTTTCTTATCGTTGCACATGTGGTGGGTGGCCGCTGAATCAACAACGAAGAAAGATCTAGACGTCTTCTGGACCTCTGCAACCTTTGGAGTGAAGCGTGAAACCATAGCCTTGTGCTGCGTTGTCCTAGACACCGGACCTTTGCCTTTGCCTCGGCCTTTTCCGCGCGATGAGCTTTCGCTGCGCTGCTCTGTCTTGGCCCTGGGATGTCTGCACTCCCTCTTCATATGGCCTAGACGTCCACACGAGTAGCATTTCACTGCCTCCAAAGCTTTGGCGCCATCTGGTGGTTCCACTGCACTATGGGATGACGTCTGTGAAGACTCTCCCTTGCCCATGCAGCTAGCACCCGGCGATCTGCTTCATTTAAAATCACGGCAGTAACAAAGTCCACTGTCAGCTGAGCAGTTGGTTGCACAGCAATCTGGGTTGCAACAGACTCCCAACCTGAACCCAAAGATTGTAGTATCATGAAAGAATACACAGCCTCTGGAAAGTTGAGTCCTCTCTGTTGCAGCTCATGTCTCAGATTTTGTATCTGCATTAGATGTAAACGCACATCTCCACCTTCAGCAAGAGCCATATTATGCAGCTTGTTAAAATAAAACATAGTGGATCCAGCTTCTGTCCTTAAGTGAGCCTCTTTCAGAGCGTCCCAAATTTCTCTGGCTGAGGTCTTATCACGCAATAGACAGAGCTCTTCTGGGGATACTATCAATGTAAGAGTTCCCTTGCTTTGGAATCCTTAGCTTCCCATGCATCTGTAACTGGAACTGGGGGTTTCTGTAATCACCTCAAACAAACCCTCTTTCCGCAGAATTGCCTCTGCATACTGAACCCAGTCGCTGTAATTTTTCTTGTTGAGCTTAGGAATCCCACAAGCATCCTGAAGGGCCATCATGACTCTGGCATTAGCCTTCAGCGTCATATGCTGCTTTAAATCTTGCTGCGTCACTGCTGCAGCTGCCTCATTACAAAGGCACACTTAAAAGTTACTTTCGATTCCCCAGCATAGTGACTTGTGCCTGGGAGCCTTTTGCCTATTCCCGGCAAAACCGGCTTTAAAAGTTCAAAGTCCAGCCATAAAGCCATTAACTTGAAGCTGGCAGGCTGCCCGGAGCAGTAGCACATACCTCATCAATCACTTCTACGCGCAGAGCAGATTCCTTTCCGATCCGTTCCTCTGCATTCCGATCCTTTGCCGGCACTCCGATTCGACCTCTGGGCCCATAACCACGTGTTGATTTAAAGCAGAGTCTGGTTGCCAGCGGAAGGATGAGGAAAATGTGCTGCATACTCCATATAGCTTTATTTACAGTTCAAAGCTGGTCTATTACAGAAAGACATCTTGCCTCTGCAGGAGCAGAGAAATGCATCCTCTCTCCTTCACAGCTCGGAGAGAAGAAAACACAGTGAAAAAACAGGAAACCAGTGTACGTCACATCCAGTCTCCCTTTCCCGTGAGAAACTCCAACAGTACAGACTGTGGAATGTAAACACCTGTCTCGTGACAGCAGTTGCTGCACAGTGAAGGAAAGCAGAAACTAACAAAAACTGGGACCATTGGAGGATATGTACTTGAAGCATGCATTGCAGAGAGGGCCTAAATTAGGATTGGGGAAACTCAGGGGGCCAAATGCAGCCCCCCCCCCAGGCCTCTCTGTCTGTCAAGGCTGTATCAAGACTTTGGGGAATTACGATCCCTCCCCCGATGGCAGTAAAAAGGCAGATAACCGAAAGAGTTCTTACCACGTAACTTATTCAGTATTGATCGAGAGAGAGAAAAGAATGTTGTCTCTACAATAATGGCGTTGCTCCAACTGAGCTCCTCCCCCCTCCCTTCCCAGCAACAGCACTTCCCTTTATGGTGGCCGCCAGGGGCTAATTGTCTCTGAGTCCTTCGCTCTTCCACTTTCAATGCACATTGAGTTCTGGGAGAAGGTGGGGTCAGAACTGCTCTCCAGTGATAACGTGTCAGCTGGCTGCTCTGGCTCTGGCTCCCCCTTCTCTTCTCCCAACACCTCCCAATTCTTCTGTTCACCTGTTTCTGGAGGTCTCCAGATCACTGGAGAATTCAATACTGCCTTCCTCTTCTCTGGAAGGTTCAGGGGGGCAGTCTCCACCATTCCTCCTCAGTCTCGTCCCACTCAGTCCAGTCCCTGACGTCATCTGGCCTTCAGTAAGCCACACCTGCTGCCCAGGCCATAACTGCTTTCCCCAAGCTATACTTCTCACCAGCCCTACTCTGCACCTTCCTAGAAGGATTTCAGTGGTCAGCCTGAGTGGACCACATCAGTTTGGAATCTTCTTTATTAAGGAGGCACCCATCTGCAGTTCCATGATTCACAGGAACTGCAGGACACTTGCACAGAGTTCACCAGCTCCTGACGAGAAGGTGTGGCTCTGTTGGCCAGAAGAAATAAAGATGGCTTGGCTCAAGCTGCTGAGAACAGAACTGGGAATCTACAGCTCACAGTGAGCTGCCCCATATGGAGAAGTCTTCTCACGCTCCAGAGTGGGGCTGCCTACCCATGTTTGCCATTATGCACCTCTGAACAGGAAGGGCTATAAAGGGTTTCCTGTTTTTGGCTCTGACTTTTGGCTTTGTTCTTCAGCTTTGTTTTTCCGGCAAAGCTCCTGGCATCTCACTGTGGCTCAGTCTTGTCCGCTAGGCTCACAGTGAACATGCTAGGCTTGGCCAATCCAGAGACCTCATGCTGCCTGCCAATTGCCGAAGCCAATGCACCCCTAATCCCATCTATACCTGAAGAACACTGGAAGCTGCCTTATACCGAATCAGACCAATGGCCCGTTTGTCTGTGCTGACTGGAAGCAGCTCTCCAGAGTTCCAGGCAGGTGACGTTCTCAACCCTACCTGAAGATACCAGGGATTGAACCTGGGACCTTCTGTGTATAAAGTAGACGCTCCATCATGAAGCTATGGCTTGAGAGTGCAAGTTACCAGTAGCTCCCTAGTCTTGGACCCAGACTAGATTCTAAAGCTATAGATCCAAATAAACATGCCCCTGGGGAAGGAAAAGTAAATCTCTGTATGAGTGTAAGGCTGCGGTTCTCAACCTGTGGGTCCCCAGATGTTGTTGGACTACAACTCCCATCATCCCTAGCTTGCAAGGCCAGAGCTCAGGGATGATGGGACTTGTAGTCCAACAACATCTGGGGACCCACAGGTTGAGAACCACTGGTGTAAGGGATTTGAGAGAAAGTCAGAATAAATTAAAACAATTCTTTAAAAAGACAGCTAAAAAGACTCTTAAAAACCTAAAAACTCCCTTAAAAGAATCAAGTCTTCAAAAAAGTGACATGATCTAAGAAAGTCTTTAAAAGAACCCTTCCAAAAGAATTTAAAAATTATAATGTAGCACCATAGAGACCAACTGAGTAGTCTTAGGTATAAGCTTTTGTGTGCATGCACACTTCTTCAGATAGGAATGTAGGGGATGCTTTAGCTGAGATTCCTGTGTTGCAGGGGGATTGGACTAGAGGACCTTTGGAGGTCCCCTTCCAACTCTACCATTCTATGATTCTACTTTCCTACAGAGAAAGTATTAGACTCGGCTTCATGGTTGCATTAGGCAGATATATTCTGAAGCCCTGGATGTTTTAAACAAAGCGACACTCTGAATTTATGTTGCAAGCTGGACCTAGTCAACCTCTCAAATGCACGTGTGCGTCTCTTGCCATAAATTCCCTCCAGGGACATGTTATGTCATTCCCTGATGGGTGGTAGAATGGAAACGCTGGGACGAGCCTTTGAAGGATTTAATTCGCTTCTTAATTGCACAAGCCGGAGGATAAATGTCCTACGGCCAAAGAAGATGGAAGGCTTGCTCACACAGAATAGCTTGAACCTGAGTGATTTAGCACCAGCTAAATCTGACAAATTACAGTAGCACTGACAGCTTTACAGTTTTGTCAACAGCAGGCCCCACCTCATTTCAGAGCTCTCTGTGGAGAGATCATAGGAGTCTCCTGGCACCATGGACGAGCTCTTGGCACTAAAGAGTTTCATCTCCGACTGAGGCTGATATTATGTATTGCAACAAGGCCCCCAGAAAGCTGTAGAAAAGCACACGGGGCTTTAGGCTCACCTGTCAGGTTCTTGAAAGCTCCCTCATGTACTGAAATGACTTTCTGAAGAGCATTGAGTGGCTTCTGGTCCTGCTGTGTGAATCACTGAGAACCAACATGGACAAAACCACCCATCAGATGTACTGAAAATGGAAACCTCTTAACTTATTTCATAGATTAAGTCTCTGTGGAGGTGTTCTGGGTGCAAAAAAGAAATCGTTCGCTGCAGTGCAAAAGAATGAGAAAAAAATGGCTTAAACCCATCAGGCACTGAATCTAGCACTAGTTTTTTCTGTAACAATATTTAATAATTCGTTTATTTCCTTATTTATCCATTGCCTTCCACACATGTCTCAAGGCAATGTACAAAATGCTATAAAAACCATTAAAAACAACACAGAAATTAACAGGAGATCAATGTTAAAAGAATGCCAGGTAGACACCCATGGCAGAGAACTACTCAACCACCTGGGAAAGCGTATCTGAACAAAAACGTATTCAATTGATTCCAGAAAGTGCAGATAGTGAGGGCGTGTCATAAAAATGCTCCCCGTGCCTGTTGGAGAGGCTTGCCTGGTGAAGTAGAGTCACAGCAGCAAAGTCACTGCTGCTTACCAGGGGGAGAGAGAGGTGACAGAGAGAACAAGGCCACATGGGAATGTTAGAATTCCTGCTCCATGATTGCAGTCATGGGATTTTTGTCTTTCACATGATGGTGTGTGTTTTGACTCCACAAAGTGGGAAGTGATGGAGACAGGATGTTTGTGTTACTATGTTCCGTGAAGTGGGACTGTTGTCCTTTGTTCTTTCTCTTGGCTGTCTGATGCTAGAGAGAGAGGGAGCCATGTTGCAGTGCTCCGTGTGTGTTTATATGTAAATAAAGTAGATTAGCCAAAATGCTGAGTTGCTGAGGTCTGTTACGCAAGCTGCGAAGACTCTGCAGATCCCTAAGTGTGCCAATGTCTGTTGACATTGGTCGCTGTGATGTTCAGGCTGAAGAAAGCTTTTGAAGCTCCCGAACGATCGACCAGCAGGGAGAGAACATGCCAGTCGGGCTTGTGTCTCTGCCAGGGTCCTACTCGAGTGTAGGACGAGCTCCTGACAGGGAGCACTAGATTGATTCCACTGTTTCATCTGTGAAGCCCCACTCTTGCCAATGTCTCATGTCTCCACATCCCAGGAAGCAGCAGTGATGCTGCTATCAGGAAACTATTGCTCTGGCTCCACCCGTCCAGGTGAGATACTCCTGCTTTGCTCAGGGTGCTTTGCTGTAGCAGAAACCCTCGCTGTTGCCCAGTGCTGCTGTTTTAACTTCTCCACCATCCTACCAGAGTAATGCTACATTAGGAGCACTATGGAGAATTTTAAATGGTGGCCTGTAGCCAGGCACCAGCGCTGCAAGGTAAGCCTGTTACCTGATCTCCACTGACACAGAAGGCCAACCAGAGGGCATTCACCAAGGATCCACTACAACCTAGCCCTGCAAATTGGACCTCCTCATCACTTTGAATGGACTGAGAGTGCCCCCTAGGACACTTTCTGCTATGGCTTAGAACTCCAGGTGACAACGTCCTTCAGGAAAACATGCTCAGCATTGCTGATCTTCTTGCTGAGCATCCCTGGGGTTCCCTGGAACACAGTGTACAAGTTCCTGTTTTCAAATAAAGCTGCCCCTTGCCACTCTAAAGAGTAGAGTCTTGGCCCACCGCCTTCAAAAGCAGGTTTAAGAATGGTCGTGGGTAGATGAGTTACTTTTTGCCCACGAGCTTTATCTCTGTTATACGTCCCACCCCCATGTAGCCACAAGGAAGCTCATGCTGCAAGCTTCACATCTGCGGCGAACGTTTTTGTAAAATAAATATTGGCACTTAGCAGCACAGCATCTGCCGTCTTGCAAAACCAGATTCAGGCTTCTCCTTAGATTTGCCGGCTCGCAAGTGCGCAACCTCACCAAATGCAGCCAAGTTAGCTGTCCCCACCTGGCTCAGCTAGCATATGGTCCCTATAAGATCAATAAGATAAGAGGCATGCTTATCTTGAAGCAAAGAGGTTTTCATTAGCAGGTCAGCCAAGAACCAGTGGTGAGGGAGACCGAGATGCCACAACACATAGAGTTATTTACTGCTATCAAAACCTCAGCGTAAAAAGGTTTTGCAGGCAATCCTGTAAGGGCATTTTGGCTTCCAAAAGTTTTCTTTAAAAATCACTTGATGGGTATCACTCAAACTCCCCATCTCTTTGGCTTCTTTTGGGATAAATGCACCCCCTGGCATTTGTACATGCTCTTCTGCGTCTGATATAACATAATAGGCAAGAAGAGTTGCTTTGTCCCAAACACCTTGGTTTCTGCTAAAGTGCCCCTTAAAAATATACATATACTTCAAGTGTCAAAAACCAGGGGAAAGAGGTGCATCTTCAGTATTTGCAGGAGGCTGTATAAGGAAGATGCCAGATGCATCTCTGCAGGGAGGGAGTCCCACAACTTAGTGGCTGCAAGTACTCTGAGTCTCTGAGGGCAGAGGAACTACAAAGAGGACCGCTTTTGCCTCTGTGTGTGTGTGTATTTCTCTAGATACCAAGATCCAGGTTTGGGGCAAGGGCTCTTTGGTGAGAGAACCCCAGCAGAAATTTAAAGTCACAAAATATGCAGCAAAGTAAAGTGTGGAAATATAGGCTGTTAGACCTTTAAACTATGCCAAATGAAGTTTCCGAGTCTTCAAGGGAAGCCCAATTTATCATCCCATCAGTCCTGTAAGGTACATTCAGTAGTGCAGTGGTGACAGGGCAACAGCTGGATGGATGGGGTATAAATATCATCATCATCATCATTAGTGCAACAGGGCTTTCCACCCACTCCCTCCTATGCCTCCCTCAAACCTGCTCTGCAGGCTCAGGAGAATGCCCAGAACAGCACATTGGGTAAGGAGAAAGGAGATCATTCCATTGGGCAAGCAGAAATGCTTGCACTGATGGAAAGGAATTCTTAGCACTACATTGAATTCCACCCCAGGCCTCAAATATGGCCACCTTCCTCCCACCCTGCTCAATGCATATAGAGCATCATAGACATCAACCTTGTGCATGCATGTGAGATTTCTAGCCCTTTTTGAGATCAGAGTCAATTGCACACGTTTCCCTCCTGTATCCCACAATAGGTGAAATCAAAACTCCAGGGCACTTTGACATATAATACCATGCCAATATCTGCACCATTTAATATGTTCATTTTGTTTTGTTCCTCGGTCTGTTGCCTCCACACTTTCCACCATCTGTGGCTGCTTTGCCTTGCCTTGAACTACTTCTGATCTTGGCAGGAGAGGAATTCTTTTGCCCGGGCCCAGATGGTTTGCTTTCTGTCTTGTTCTCCATCTTCATTATCAAACTCGTTTTCTAAACCTGTCTTGAAAGTAACTCAGGAATGACTGCAAAATCTCATCCAGAAGTACTCCTTTGCTTCTGGCCCAATTTTCTGGGGAAAGAGTTAATCACCCCCTACCATCATCAAATACCCACATACCCACACACAATGCCACATTTCTGCTCTCAATTCTTTCCACCCCAAGTGATTTTTCTTAAAATAAATGGTATCAGGGCACTGGTATGCATGTTTACACCTCACACGTCATTAGCCCCTGAAGTCTGGAAGAAGAGGTAAGATAACCGTGTTTCTACAGAAATATAATCAGTAAATGTTCATGGTGACACTTGCCTTGGCTGCATCTCAGTGTCTTAATGGACTATTGTAATGTGCTCTACACAGGTTTTCCTTAGAAGAGTTTCCAGAACCTTCATTTGGTTCAGAATGCAGCCCAGAAGGGGACTCTTTGTCAGCCTGAGGGCTGCATTCACTGACAGA